CTTTCCCTTTGTGTTCATTGTTTTGGTGAATTACTGGAAGATGGCCAGTTCCAGCCAAAAGGAAGTAGCAGTTGTATTTTTAAGTTGAGTGATCATACTGGTCATTGAGGGTTAGGTTGTTTGACTATGTAGATGTAGCAAAGTTATTCTCTTATCAGAAAAAAAGGCAGCATTGACTTGCCTTGCAGTTCTCCTAATTAACCCTGATATATTCCACCCATCCAGACCCAGGAAGAGTCTGCAATTCTATGTTCACAAATAATAATAGTTAATGAGTCTTAAGTGCTTACATGTGAAGCACTGTGCTAACCTTTTAATAGTATCGAAATATTTAATTCAATTCTCACAACTATCCTTTAAGATAATGCACTATTATTTATATCCATTTTTAATGAATAAAGAAACTAAGGCACAGAGAGGGTAAATAAATTTCATGAACTCACAAAACTACCCAGGAATTGAAATGGGGGCCTTTCCAGTGCAAGTACTCTTACCCACTGCACCACCAGACACCCAGGTAGAGTCCTTGCTGAACCAGCACTTTGTCAAGAGAAACATTATTGCTATACTCAGTATTTCACATGGAAAGATACTAAGTATACCATCATAGACTGTGCTGTTCTGTTATTATGTATGACTAAGTGGAACCAAGGAAACTCATGTTGAAACTTAACTGCCATGGTAACAATAGCGAGAAGTGGGGCCTTTAAGAGGTGATTGGTGGGACCTGCAGATGATGTAATGATTACATCACTGGACTCCCACGTTGTTCACTGCAGTTTGAGACCCAGACCTAGCAGCTTAAAACTCACACCAGGCATCTGTGCATGCATGCCCAAGATCCCAAGAGGAGAATAGAGGAAAAGGGAATGTAGCGTGGCCATCCCTCATGGGGAGTGATTTCTTGCTTTCTCTCTCTCTGTCTCTCCAGAGGACTCACATGGCTTATAGCAAAAATCTCTCTCTTAAAAAAAAAAGGAGGTGATTGGTTATGAGGCCTCATCCCTCTGAATGGATTAATGCAGTTATTGCAGGAATGAGTCGATTATGGTAAGTGTGGGCTTATGAAAAAGAAACCTCCTCGTCTTTTTATTTCTTGTGCTCATGTTTGCCTATCCACTGTGAGGTAAAGTAACAAGGAGGCCCCTAGCCAGATGCTAGCCTCTCAGTATCGTACTTTCAGGCCTCTAAAACCTAAAGTCAGATGCATGTCTATTTTTTATAAATTACCCAGCCTGTGGTATTCTGTTATATCAACAGAAAGCAGACTAAAACATTAATATTATAATCTATTCAAAAAAATTTAAATGTACAATAAAATACCTCAATGGATTTAAGAATTTGTGCTTCAGTTTTCTCCCCCAAAATGAATAAATCTAGTGCAAATATAAGGTCTTTGGTCCAGCAGGTGGCATGGAATAAGATGGCTGGATCCCACACGATCAACTCCACAGTTAGAGTCCCGGAACTGACGGCTTGAAGGTCACTTACAGGCATATATGCGTGCAAGCCCAAAATCCTGAGAGGAGAGTGGAGAAGGGACTGCACCTCAAGGGGATGATTTCTCACTTTTTGTGTCTCTGTCTGTCTCCAGCATGCACATGCACCTTAGAGCATTACACCATCGGCTGGTCCCAAGAAACGTGGATGCTTTGACCTCAGAGTAACACCATTCAAAATATGCTTTAGGGGGCCAGCAATTGACATGGTAGTTAAGGCACTAGATCCCCCGTGGCCAACTGCAGTTTGGATCCCAGACCTGGTGGTTTGAAATTCATGCCAGGCACATGTATATGCATTACCAAAATCCCAGGAGGAGAATACAGAGGGGATTGTGGTATGGCCATCCGCCCAAGGTGTGATTTCTGATTTCTGACTTTCTCTCTCTCTCCCTCCATCTCTCTGGTGAGTGCACATGCTCCATGACAAAAACCTTAAAAACAATAACAAAATCTGCTCCAGATACAGAAACCTGTAAGCAAAGTGTAGGACATGGATGTGGGTGAGGAGGGAGAGGAGATCAGGTCTTTTTAACTTCCCAGGGAGGGGAAATATTTATAAAGACCTGAATATAATAGAACTGTTGGAAGCACATGAAATCAGCCTTAGGGAAGGGTCACCATTCTGTTTGTCCCTCAGTGATATGGAACCCACACATCACCAACAGTGTCACAGAGACAGTTTAGACCCACCTCTGCCCCATCCGGTAATCTTTATTACCAGACACGCGAGTCATACTCTCCATGCTTGGGGCTTCACTCCTACGTTTGAATGCTGCACAGCAGCAGAATGGGCAGATCTAGACTGGATCTGTCAGCTGGGGTGTGGCAGGTGCTTGAAGAAGGACCAACAGTAGGTAGCTGGACAGACTCTGACTAAGAGAAGACCGTCTCCAGGGAGGAAGAGCAATGACTCAGGTGGTTCACAAAGTCACAGTGGGTATCAAGGACGATGTCTCAGGGTTCCCTGTGAGACAGGTGGAGCTCTACCTGCACCGCTCACAGACCCAGCTAGTTAGCCTCGGGTAACTGTTAGCTGTAAAGGGCACCAATCACTAGGCCAGGCTCATGGGTGGACTCCAGGCTGGTACAGGTGGAAGGTGGCAAATACCCAGGTGTGGATGGAGAGGGTGCTGGGCATCTCTGCCTATGTGTAGACGCACAGCAGACACAGGGAGCTGGTCAGCAGAACAGCCTCGAGGTTCCTACAGTTTAGAGGCAAGGATAAGTTAGGTCACATGACCACTGTCCCTCCACAAGGTCAGGATTGTCTTAGAGACCAAACTGAGCTCTGAGTTACTTATATCAACAGCCCCGAACCCAGGCAGGTGGCTTAGTGTGGGTTCTTCCATGTCAGGAAGAGACCCTTCATTCATATGGTAAACATTTTCTGAGCACTCCTTAGGTTGCCATAGTGACTCCTAATAGAGAACAGTCCCTGTACTCGAGGCACCCTAAGAAGCAAAACTCACTGGACAGTGAGGACCTATAGCAGGATTTTTTTTTTAATTTGCTACAGGCGCTTGCAGGAAAGAGATGGTGTGTGTGTGTGGTGGGGGTGAGCCCTCCCCTAGAGAGAGGGCCAACATATAGTCCTTTCTCCTCCATTCTCCCCTTGAGGTTTTGGACACACGGGCCAGGCGTGCTTTTCAAGTCATTGGGTCTGGGACTCAACCGCTCGGTCAGCCATGTGGGAATCTAGTCGCTGTAACCACCATGACACTGGCTGGCCCAAAGCAGGATTCTTTATAGCACTTCTGGCCCAAGCATCTCAGCTGGAGACCAGCTAGTTGGGTTGTTCCACACTCTGCTCTTTACATCTCCGAAGTCTTTGGAGTCTGCGACTATTGCCTAAAGGCAAGGTAGGTCCAAAGATGTGATACGTACAGGAGACTGCAGGCCAGGTAAAGACGCCATATCTGCCAATCAGGGGTAAAGGGAAGTGAGATTAAGTAAGACATAGAACACCTCGGTTCCAGTTAACTATGAGTGTGTAACAAATCACCTGAAAATGAATGTGCCATAAATAACCAGTGTACCTTTTACCCACTCTGCAGGATTGAAACTCTGACAGGCACAGGGGAAGTATCTGGAGCCTCAGGTGGAAAGAGTCAATGACTGGGGCTTGTATCATCAGAAGTCATCTCTACTCACATGTCCGGCAGTTGAGACTGGGTGTCTGCTAAGACCTCAAGCTAGGGCCTTAGGCTGGAATGCCTGAGCATGGTCTTCTGTGGAGCTGCAATTTCTCATCACATGGTGGCTGGGTTCCAAGAGCAAGCCTCCAAGCCTCCAGGAAGCAGGAGCTGTCAAATTCTTAAGGCTGCTCTGGCCCTGTGGCCTAGTGGTTAAAGGAGCCAGATTCCACATGGCTAATTGCACCGTTCAAATCCTAGCCTTAGTAACTTGAAAAACACACTGAGGAAAACCAGAGGATGGTATAAAGGCTATGTCACTGGACTCCCATGTAGTTGACCACAATTTAAGCCCCAGACCTGGGGGCTTAAACTCACACCGGGTGCATGTGCCTACGTGCCCAAGATCCGGAGAGGAGAATGGAGGAAAAGGGATTGTGGTGTGGCCATCGCCCCTGGGGGGTGATTTCTTACTGCCTGTCTGGTCTCTCTTTCTTTCTGGCAAGCGCATATGCCCTATAGCAAAAACCTCTCCAAAAAAAAAAAAAAAAAAAGAAAGGAAGGATCTACTTAATGACTGCAGTAAGCTATATAGCCTCTAGGTGCTACTTTGTAGTATGTTCATTCTACTCAAAGTATTTAGATTAATTTAGATTAATTAAGATCTTTTGTGAATCAATAAAATGTAAAAAGAAAAGAAAAGAAAATATTTAGAACTAGAGTGGTGGTTAGGACCAGCGGTTAGCATAATGGCTATGTTGCTAACTCTCATGTAGTCGACCACAGTTTGAGTCCCGGACCCAGTGGCTTAAACTCACGCTGGGCATGTGTGCGTGCGTGCCCAAGATCCCGAGAGGAGAATGGAGGAGAAGGGATTGCAGCGTGGCCATCCCCCCTTGGGGGTGATTTCTCGCTTTCTGTCTCTCTGTCTCTCTCTTTCTTTCTGGCGAGCGTGCGCACCCTATAGCGAAAAAAAAAACTCTTCCAAAAAAAAAAAGAGCTAGCGTGGTGGTTATGAAATGTAGAATTGTCATCAAATTGTTTCCCTTAAAATAGTTAATCTTATTTTATTCAAATTTCACCTAAAAAAATATTAGAGAAGCACATATGGTCACCTTCTAAAATTCCACAGAACTGAAATAATAGCTATGGGAAATTTTCACTTATTTCTGCTAAGGGAAGATGGTAAAGTCACAGACAATCCCAAACGGCATAGGATAAACACTCTACAATATCAATAGGTATTCTATTATAAAGTACAAATAAAAGAATAGCAATTTTTAAAAAAGGAAGGAAGGAAGGAAGGGTAGTAGCTGGAAGGAAATTCACATGGCCACGGGGGTGGGGGGGGTGCTTAGTTTTTTTGTCCCTTACAGAAACGTTTATAACTTTCCTGTTAATGGGCTATATCTCTCTCTGACTATTTAAACATACATTTGGAAAACTGTAGCCCTGAGCAGAAATACCCTTTGGGAGTCCAATCCTAAAGGCTTCTTGCCCTCAGTGCCATTATTCCTACCACTACCTCCCCTTGTTTCAAACAGGGTCAACAACGTAAGCTCTAAATGCTGCTCATCTGAGTTCTTCGCAAAGAAACACAGGCAACTGCAATGTTATAATTATATATGAATGTAAAATAACAAATGGGGGGGCAGCAGGTGGCATAGTGATTAAGGGCTCTGGACTCCCACATAGCTGACTGCAGTTCAAGCTCCAGACCTGGCGGCTTGCTTTCTTTCTCACTTTCTCTCTCTCTTCTCTCTCTGCTCCTCTCTGGTCAAATTTAAGTAAATAAATAAATAAAGTTAAACAAAACGATTCTTTAAAAAAGTAACAAATAGAATTAAGTAAATAAATAACTTTTAAAAATTCACGGTCTAGTCTACTTGAGTTTGTATGGTATTTAGATTTTTGCTCCCCCTTGGTAACAAGGTATTATATCTATATAAATAATAGATATAAATGTCACACTTCTTT